AGGTAACATTCAAACAGGCAGGGTGAGTAACATGATTCGTAATAATCAATGTATAAAAATCAACATATAAATGGCATCATAATCATATTCAACACATTCATATTCCTCATTATGCCTCGAAGGCCACAACATCATAATTCATACAAAAAGACCCATAAATGTAATCCAACAAGACTCAATGCATGTGGTACCAATCATCACAGCTCGATGGACACTGGGCCATCAACCCTCCATAGATCCCCATCAATAAGATCAATTCTACTTGAGAACCAGAGCACATCAAAATACTTCGCATCTGCACAATGGGATTGAAGCCAAAGTAATCGAGATCCTGAACTGAAGTCTGGATGCACATGAATGCATGATGCACACGTCATAAATAATCCTCATAACAACATCATAGGTGCATCATCATTCATCATCATCAAACGTCATGTCATCATAGCTCATCATAATAATCATTATCATACATCATGTCATCATTGCTCATCATAATAATCATCATCATATATCATGTCATCATAGCTCATCATAATAATCATCATCATACATCATGTCATCATAGCTCATCATAATAATCATCATCATACATCATGTCATCATAGCTCATCATAATAATCATCATCATTCATCATAGAAATCATCATATAATCATGTACAAACCACATAGCACTCACAGTCATACTCATATTAATTCATCATATTATCATATATTATGACATATTAATTCGTAATTATACTCGCGATAATCCTCATGCTATCGCCTATTAATCACATAAACTTCACAGTCCTACTCATGTTAATTCGTCAAAGACATCACAAAATCAAACATCAAAGCATCGCTGCACACAATCAACATTCGCGAAACTCTGCTACTAACGCTGACATGTTCGCTAGGCGAGTGTGGCGAGTTTCTTCGCTGTGCGAAGGATTCTTCGGTAGGCGAACAGTGTGATGACATCAAATTCTGCTACGCACCAGAACTTGATTCCACCCAAAAGTCTACCCGATTCACTTCCCCAATGCCCCCAAAACATCCCTAAATCATCCTTAAGGTCCTACGGCGATAAAGGCACAAAACCTACGGTTTATTAGGCCAACCCCGTAACATATTCACGTCCTAAATCATAATTTTTCCTTCAATTACACCCTAATGCATCAGAGTTACTCACTATCCAATATTCCTACTCCTTCAGGGTCAGACATATGACAATTTAAGGTTTTGGCCACGAAGGCCTACCTTTCCCTTTTCCCAACGGATTCCACGGTTAGATTCACACTAACAGGTTTAGGCCACGAAGGCTAAAGATCACTATTTCTCATATCAATGCTCTAACATTCAGGAATACTTACCACTACACCACAATCATCAAGGTTCTCACTATCAAATTTCTCTACAGGGTTAGACCAATGTCAAATCAGAGTTTTGGCCATGAAGGCCTAGTTTCCCTATTTCTCACAATCAATCCCAAAATCCCTTAAATCATCCATAATCACATTGAAAGTCACACATGGAAAATCATGAAAGGCTATACTCTCCATACCTTAGTTGTCGATCAAAGTCTTCTCAATCTTTCAGGAAATCTCTCGAAGCTTCTGCCTCCAATCTTCTCCTCTGAGCTATGGCCTCAATACTTTTCACGGTTAACAAAATGAAGCCTAATTCCCTTCAGAATTCCTTTTTGTCAAACCTAGTCTTGGGCCACACAATTGGGATTTTCCCGTAACACCCTTACTAACTCCTCTTAATGTCCAAATTACCCTTATTTCACTTATATTTATTTTAACTAATAATAATACTAATATTTTTATATTGTATACTATAATTAAATAAATAATCCAAAAATGCACAATTCCCAATAATCCACAAAACTACTGAAAATCACCGAAAACTGAATATTCTTAATTAAATTAATTAATTAAAATATTCCAATTAATTATTGGGTGTTACAGAACCGGCCGAAAGGCCCTTTGTAGTCCTGGGGCTCCCGGGGGCAGTCTTCGCGTCTTCTATTTCCTCGATGAGATGTCGAGGGTTCATCGGGCTTAGAGGATCGACGAGAGGTACAGGGATGGATTTCCACAATTTTGGCAAATTCAGTACGGGGATGGAGTCCGCGCTCGAGCAGAAATTTCTTCATGTCATCGGTCGTGGAGACCTGGAAAACTTCCTTGTTGAACCTCTCTATATAGGCTCGAAGAGGTTCATCCTTATGTCTTTGGGTGCCTGCGAGAGGTCGTGAAGTGTCTAGAGAATATTCTCCCCAATTGCCTCCATGATGTGATGAAATCGTCAGGGAGTCTTTTGTACTAGGTCATTACTCCCTTCTTGAGCGTGATCGGGAACAATCTATATTTGACGGCGCCTCGTACGCCACGGTAATCGAGAAACGCATTGATATTCTTGATTTGTTTTGAGATTCACATTATACTAAAGTCTATGATATAAGAGAGAATGCATTACATGATCTCCCCCAGACGAGACGTGCATTAAAAACTCTAGACGAAGCAAGGAGATACCCATCACTTATCACTTCTCATATACTTAAAGCTCGTGGCGCACAATGTTCATCGTATTTATTACGTGTTTTGATGTTGTTTTGAGAAAGAAGAAGAAAGACGCACGAAAGGTGTAATGGGAAACTTGGTCCTAACGCTGTCATGCAAAATGGTCCTAAAGTCGGGATGTGAGTGAAGATTTTATCCTAATGTTAGCATGCAAAAGATGGGCATAAGATTGAGGTTAAAAGGGATTAACCTAATTTTATCATGCATGGATTAAACTCCTAATGCCTATCCTACTCCAAGCTTAACAAAAAATTAAGTTGGACTAGGAGGACTTAAAGGAGCATGCAAGAACAAACCAAAACAAAGAAAACAAGCCAAATATAGCAGCTACGACAACGCTCCAACTTCAGAACAGCTACAAAAAAATCCAGCAAGTAGCACCACAACATTTAACAGCTCATGTTTCAGTACATAACAGGTGTAAAAAGCAGCAGGCAGAATATTTGCATATTTAACAGCATATGAAAATCCAAAACAGCAGGTGTAAAAGACAACAACATGTATGCATAAACAATGAAGCAAAACAACAAGCAAGCAATGATCATATTGCTCTACAAGAATAACATGCATTCCACAATGATTAATCAATTCAAACGAACATGCGATTATGGAATAGGAAAGAAACAACAATCATGTAACACAAATCTAGCAAGATGAGCATCAATAATTAACAATTGACATGATACAAATGAGTATGCAACATGATCATCACATCAAGAAAGCAACACAACAATTACAAACGTTCATCAACAGAAAACCAAAAGTCGCGCGTCGAAAAGTAACAATCATGCAATGAAGAAAGATGAAACAACTCAAAACAGTTCACATATATGCATCATATCAACCCATGAAGATTAGAAGTGGAAAGGAATCAAAACACACTTGAAAATAGACAAAAATCACACACTACATCAGTGTTAATCGATTAACCATTTACAGTTCCAACTTGGTTAATCGATTAACAACATCAAAATCAGCAAAATGACACTGGTTAATCGATTAACCAGTTTTGCAGTGTAACTGGTTAATCAATTAACCATATACCAGTAGCAGAAAATCAAGTTTCAAAAGCACTTTTCAGCAGCAAAACACATGTTCAAGCATCCAAATGATTAAGAATTCAATTATGCACAAAAGTTATATTGAATTAGAGCAATCAAACATCAATTTGATCCAACAAACATAAACATCAACAACCAAATTCAAGCAAATGGATCAAATCGTATCAAAAATCATGGATCTACGTTACATAAGTTGAAATTAAGTTAGATCAAGTGTGAATATGAAATTTATCAACCTACAAAGCGGAGAATTGCTTTGGTGAGTGTTGCAAACGAAAATGGGCAGATCTAACACAAGAAATCTAAGATCCAAAGGAATCCTAGCAAGAAACCTCAAGATCCAAGCGATGTGATGAACTTGCTTCAAAGCTTCTTCAAGAATGGCTTCCAAAACTTGAATCTAGATCCATACAAACTTCAAATGCAGAATTGAACCAAGAATGATGATGTAGTGGAGGTTTAGCTCAAGAATTCACAAATTGTAATGCACAATTTGTGAATCTATGAATATGGAGCTTTGGTGAAAGGTTGAAGATAAAGATGGAGAATGAAAAAGTGAGAGAGAGTTGAGAGCAAATTTTGAAAATGAGAGTGAATAAGTGAAGTTTGGAGTAAATTTGGTTAATATCATCTTGTTCATGTAAACCAGAGTAGAACGCACGAATAAAATCTTATTATAGTCTTGAACTAACGGTAAGAAATAATCAATGTTTTGATGCTCAACTCGCTTCACAATTCCGAATACAAACAAACCTTCAAGGGTATCATTTTTCCAAACTTAAAATTCAATACAATGTAGTGTCAAAAATTAGTTTCAACCTTAGTAAAATATATAAGAAAAAGTTTTAACAATAGAACCCAAATATGTATTAAAAGGGTCAAAAACAAGTACTAGGGTGGGACTAGAAAATATAGTTGAAAATTTAGAAAACACTTGAAAACACAAATCCCAATTATGCCTGTCAGCAAACGAAAAGTGAATAAGAAACCGTTACTGTTACTATACACGAAAGGTTTGTATCTCAATGCCGGATTCTTGTCTTTCTCACTTTTTATTCCTTATTACAATTTTTAATCTTACTATAACTTTTTGATTCCTTGCTTCACTTTAATATGGAATTATTCAATATCAAAACCAAAACCAAAACTCTTTCAAAACTTTAGAAAAGAATCTTAATCTATGTTCCATATATATTGTCTAAGGTGTCCAATTAAATAAATAATCACAAAAGAGTTTCATCATAGGTAAGTACTATATGTTTCATTAAATACTTTTTATTGTTCACAACACAAATATTTATATACAAATATAAGTCTAACATTCAGTTTTTATTTTTTCTTGCAAGCCCTCATTAATATTTTGAAAAAGCCATGGAAGCTTTGGGTGTAATCTGGGAAATCGCTAAAAGTTTGTTCAGTTGCACAAAAGCACAAGCTGCCTATGTTTATAAGCTGCAGGAAAATCTGGAATCATTGATGAAAAAATGGAAAGATCTTGAAAACAAGAAAAAGGATGTGCAAACAGAAATTGATAGAGCTGAGAGCACAGGAGTCATGAAAAGATCTAATGAAGTGATTGGTTGGCTACATGAATTTCAAAATTTTGAAGAGGTATTTTTTATATGACTTTAATTTACAACATATTGAATTTCAAATTTGGAAATTGGAAAATATAACTTATTGTCCACTCAATTAGTTACATGTAAGTTTATTTCAACTTAAATTTATTTCATGTATGAAAAACAATTTATTAAAAAATAATCATGATTATATTCAAGAAACAATCATGTGCATATAGTGCGCCTAAGTTTGTTAAATAGTGCCAAGTTTGTATGTAATCGAAGTGGTTTGATCCCTCAAAACAAACATTCCTGGAGAGGGATGAAACGTTTTAATTAGAGACCTAAGCACCATAGCAGAGATTTGGAGTAAAGCTTGTTGGGTTACCACGTAAGCCCAATGGGATGCTAAAGTTTTAGTTATAATGAGATTCTTTTCCAAATATAATGAGATTCTTTTTAGATTTTCTACATACCTCATATGTTCGTGACTGTGATTTCTAACAGAAAATGAAAGACATTCCCAATTCTCAAGAAGTTCAAAGTAACCAATGTTTGAATGGTTATTTGCCAAAGAATGGTGTGTCAAGCTACAAGTTAGGGAAAACAATTGTTAAGAGGCTTGATGACATAAACGGCCTGCTAGTTAGAGCTGGGAATATGCAGATTGCTCTGAAGCAACCACCTAAACCTATAGATGAGATGCCTTCTAGTGAGACTATAGGTTTAGACGTTATGGTTCAGAAAGTATGGAATTCTCTTCAGGATGACACTGTTGCTGTAATTGGTTTATATGGAATGGGTGGGGCTGGAAAAACAACTCTTATGAAAAGAATTCACAGTGAATTACAAACGAGGGATCATAGTTTCGATCTAGTATTATGGGTAGTTGTTTCTAGAGATTGTGATATCAATAAACTAATGAATGACATCGGCAATAAATTAGGAATTGAGGAAGGTTTTTGGAATAGAAGTGCTACAGACCAAAGAGTAGCAAAGATTTATGACCGATTGAAAGGAAAAAAGTTTTTATTGATGTTAGATGATTTGTGGGGAAAGCTAGAACTAGAAGCAATAGGAGTTCCTGATCCAAAAAAAAATAACAAATCAAAAGTAATGTTTACAACACGATCTGAAGATGTGTGTGCTAAAATGCAATCTCAAAAGAAATTCAAAGTGGAATTATTATCAGAGAAAGATGCATTTGATTTGTTTTGTAACAAAGTAGGTGATGAGACTCTAAAATGCCACACGGAGATCCCAAAGATAGCACATGAAATGGCTAAAGAATGCAGAGGATTGCCGCTAGCATTAATCACTGTGGGAAGTGCCATGGCTGGAGTGAAAAGTTTTGAAGCTTGGATGGTTGCGAAAAATAACTTGAGGAGTTCTCATTGGACAGCCTCAGATTTAGAGGATAAAGTTTTTCATATTCTCAAGTTTAGCTACGACAAACTTCCTGATGCACATAAAAATTGCTTCTTGTACTGCGCACTATACCCAGAAGATTTTGAAATAGACATTAATGACCTTATTGATCGATGGATCGCTGAGGAATTTCTCAATAAAGATGATATGAGTATATATGATATGTACAACCAAGGTAAGTCTGTTATTGAAAAATTAATACTTTCGTGCCTATTAGAGGAGAGGATTCGTACCAATCGTAGTCTTTATCATAGAAGGAATATTAGGACAGTTAAGATGCATGATGTGATTAGAGATATGGCATTATGGTTAGCTCGAGATGAAGACGAAAACAAAGACAAAGTTGTAGTTCAGGGAAAAGTATTTTCCATGTCAAAAATGGATTCTAAAAGATTGAATGCTGTTGAGAGGATTTCAGTGATAACTGATGAGGATTGTAATAAAAACTGGAATTTTCCAGCTTGTCCAAATCTCATCACTGTTTGCTTACGCATTAAACACTTGTTCTTCAGTTATAATCCTACTTCTTCAACAAATTTACAGTTATTGAAAAGGTTGAGAGTATTGGATATATCATATACTGTATTTCTTCAGCAAATCTCCCCTGAAATAGGTGAGTTAATCAACTTGGAGTTCCTTAACATTTCAGGAACATCAGTATCTTCGTTTCCCATTGAATTCAAGAAGTTGCAAAATTTGAGGGTATTCCTTATGGATGATATGAGATCCTATGATGCTGAGGTCAGTCCATTGGCAGTGATAGAAAGTCTTGAACAATTAAAGGTGTTTAGATATAGCACAATTCATCTATATAGCCGTGTTGTAGAAAGAGAAATATCATTACTAGAGAAATTGGAATCCTTGCCAAATTTGGAGGAACTGAGCATCGAATTAACTAGCTTCACTAGTGTGCAAAGACTATTTCACTCCACCAAATTACGAGGTTGCTCTCGACATCTTAGGCTTTTTTGGAAGGAAGTAGACTCAGTTGAAATGTCATCATTATTAGAACCCTTGTCAAAAATGACTCATTTGGAATGCATAAGTCTTACAGCACCATACAGCCTTGTGGATGGTTCATCGGTCCCTGGGAAATGCCATCTTGGCAAGCTTCAACAAGTGCGCATAGGTGCTTGTTATTCAATTACTCATTTGACCTGGTTGAGGTATGCTCCGCTTCTCGAGTATCTTGTTGTTTATGATTGTTTTTCAGTTGAACAAATCGTGAAGGAAACCAAAGATGACGAAGATGTTGGCTCAGAATTTAAGAATGATAATATATTCTCAAATCTTATACAACTTGAACTTTCAAAGATGCCAAAGCTAGTAAGCATCCACAAAAGAGCTTTGGCTTTTCCTTCCCTAAAACGCATTCGTGTAACTGATTGCCCCAATCTGAGGAAGCTTCCTTTCAACTCCACCTTTGCTTCCAAAGACAACTTGGTTGCAATCCAAGGAAGGATCAAGTGGTGGGACAATTTAGAGTGGGATGACACAATTATCCAACACTTACTACGTCCTAAATTTCAAACATGGCTACGCTGGTGAATATTGGTAACCAAATCTTAACTGTTTGTTTGATAATGATGTAAGCTTATATCATTAACAAGTATCATGTATATTCCAATTCCAGTTTCATTTCTGTTCTTTGCTGATTAATCCGGTTTAATGTGTAAATTTCTTTTCTATTTTCTTTGTTAATTTTGATTTGTCGTTGCTTTATACTACTCAATCTTGCTTATGTATTGTTGTTTACGGAGAATCTCATTACGCGCGATTTTTGTTTTCTAGTTCTAGTTTGATCTGTTTCTCTCAATTGGGCTTTACTCCTGTATAATTTTGTTCAATTACAATTTTTGCATAAACTGATTTTATAGGCCTCAATCTGCAGTTAGACATCTTTTTCAATGAGATAAGGATGTGAGATGTTGTATGGTCTACTTAGTTTACATCATTTCTTAAATTCTATGTTATCCAAAAGCAGTCATGTTATAAAACATAGTTGAAGAAAATAGAATAAAAGAGATAGATCATCAAAATAAATGGAGAAGTGTTAAGACTCGTGCTTTTTCTCATTGGTTTAGAACAAAGAGAGTGACTGAATTGTCCAATACCTCTCTTTTGGCTCCCAAGTCGAGTCTCATGAGTTGTGAATCATCATATATTTTCATTGGCTTTTACTCCTGTATAATTTTGTTCAATTATAATTTTTGAAAAAACTGATTTTATAGGCCTCAATCTGCAATTCTGGTATGAATGTAAATCTGTTGTAACCAATAACATCAATTAAACTTCCTTTTCATTGAGATAAGGATGTGAAATGGTCTATGGTCTACTTAGTTTACATCATTTTTTAAATTCTATGTTATCCAAAAGCAGTCTTGTTATAAAACTTGGTTGAAGAAAATAGAATAAAAGAGTTAGATCATCAAAATAAATAGAAAAGTGTTAAGACTCATGCTTTTTCTCCTCGTCCACCTAAAAGAGTGTTAGATATTTAGTCTTTGGGATTGCTGCAAAACTAAGAATTAATGGAGATGAAAATAGAGAAATAAATTTTCTTATAAACTTTCAAAGCGAATGTTTCTACACTAACCTGCAAACGGGTTTACCGGCGAATTTCCTGCATGATACTATGGAATCACCGTCTCTCTAATCCTATCTTTGATAGTATTTTACAGAAGAATATTTCTTTTACTTGCTCTTATGCATTAGAGAAGAAAAAGATAATTTAAAGTGAGAAAATAGTTTGAGACAGATTGTATTTTTGTGTGTGTTAAGAAACATTCAATTTATAATGATGCTACATTATGTTTGGAAACAGATGTATCCCTTAAAATATTGTATTGCACCATTTTGGATTACACCGAAAAATAACAATGCTTTGCTAAAAACTAGCAATATATTGCTTATAAGTTGCAACTGTTCCTAATTAAATGCTAACCAATGACATGACATATTATATCAACAATATTCAGTACGAAACATTTAAATTAGAGATGAAAAAGTCCAAATATAATATTTATATCAAATAATACAATCATTCTATTTAATATTATTTTTGGAAATTCTCTTCCAAGGAGTTATAGTCTCATCATTACATTAATGAGAATTGAAGGAAAACAAATTTGTACTAAAAAGACATGTGAAGCTTGATTCTTCCCACATCACTGCAGGTACCCGCACTCATGTTTCCCATTTCAGAAAATAATGAACTCAATTTTGTGTTACAAGTATATTTTTAATGGTTTTGAGATCAAAAAGTGACTTCAAATTTTTCAAACTGCCTTACTATGGCCACTTAACAACATTGTAATTTCATGCTCAAGCAAGATTTTTTCTTTATCTTGGTATTATTAGAAAGATGAGATCAAATAATACAACTTTAATGTTGATTACTTGGAAAGAAACAATTTGGATCATGGAAAAAAAGTTCATCAAAATTGGACTTTTCACTGATTTATACTTAGAAAAATTTCTATGTATTGGACAATTTTACAACATAAAAAACTTCAACTTTAAACAACCATAACTCCCAATTGATAAATGATTTTGAGTCCATTGTTTCACCAAATAGAAGTATGTAATACCATATTTAAAATGCGTCCTCAAGTGTTTTTATTAAATGCTTGAGAAAAAAGTTATGGACATAGGGCATATGAACATGAAATTCCATAATTTATAAATTTTTTGAAAAGTCTAATTCCACCGACTTTGAATTTCTTCTTGACTTCCTTGATTAATCATGATCAAGTACAATCATCCATCATATTTTCATGATCCTTGACTTGTGAAGTTCATGTTTGACCAAAATTATCAAAAGTTAAACTTTGACTTTGATAAACAATTGATTTTTTCTAAATGAATGTGAATTCTTCAATTGTCAATGGATCAAGCTTCTTGAACCAATTCAATCATATGAATGGGATAAAATAGTTTTCTTGAGATCCTTGAGACATGTCTTGAGGTGTAGGATTAAACATTGCTCAAAAAGTCAATCCATGATTGAATTAGGTTAAAACCTTAATTTGGTGCATCTAACGACTTTATGCTTGATGAAATGATATTGATGGAATCTTACACTTGATTATTGATGTAAAAAACTCTTGATCATGTTGAAAGGTTGTCGACCATAATTCTTTGATTAGTCAACTTTTTGGTGTCAAAATCTAACTTGTAGTCAAAGTGAATCAAAGCACAAACTCTTGTAATTTAACGGGGTTAGTGATGTATAAAACACACACAAATGAGATGATTAATGTCATGCTAGAATGATGCCAATAAAGTGGAATCTTAAGGTTAAAAATTAGGATGTGACAACCAGATAAAGAAATGAATCTTAAGTTGGTGCTGCATAAAACACACACAAAAGCACTTTTCGAAAGAAAAAAAATAAGGAGATGAGCAAGGAAGGAGATTTAAATGTTATTTTATAAGTTGCAAAACATGCATTTTATATTTTATTTTTCGAGTCTAAATTTCGAATATTATGACAATATTTATTAAGTTGAGTTTGTAATTTATTTTATTTTATTTTCGATAAGTTACATGTGCCTTTGGTGCCTTAAATCAAGACATATTTTCGAAATCCATGTATTAATGAAAATGAAAGAGAGGAAGATTAGAATCTGCTTTTATTTTAGATATAATTTTGTTTTTTTTTTTTTGTTGTCGTAGCATCTATTTTGGTGGTTGTTATTTGTATTATTGATATTACTTTGTTATTTTGATGTTCGTAAGATTTGTTATTTTGACAATATAATTGAAATTTTTAAAAAATTTTGTAGTGCATATAAAAAGTGTTGTCAAAATTGATTCTAGTTGCTTCTCCTTGTTTTGCGTTTGAATCTGCTCTGAATTTTCTTCTTCTTATGGCTGCGTCCTCTTCTGTGTTGTTTTTGCTTCTAGTTGTGTGAGGAGTGAGAGAGTGATGTGAGATTTTCAGAGCATTGGTAGAGAGAATTTGAGGTAGAGTGGGATTCATAGGAATGAGCAAAGAGGTTAGATTGGGAAATTACATTGAAAGTTTGTTATGATTCTGTTATGAGATGTGAATTTTCAGCTGGAAAATTGGTTATTGAATTTGCTCGTGTTTGATATTGTGCTTTGGATCGGTGTGAGTTTGACATTCTGTTATGATACATTGGCTTGCATAAGTTAGTTATATGTAGTGTTAAATTTCTGTTAGCAATTTGAATCAGTTTAGTTATGTTGCAGTTAGTTTGTGTGATTATGAAATTATGTTACAGTTGCATTGTTATTTTTCGTTGCAATGAGTTAGTATTATGAACTATGAATGATGTGGTTTGTTACTTTGTAATGATGCAGTGCAAAATACGAATTTCTGATTTCAGTTTAGCAGAGCCACTTATGCAACCACCATTGACATCATGTTGTCCACCTAAATCAGCACCAAGGGCAATGGTTCAAATGCGTAGCAAATGCACCATCAATGCAGAGCAAAACCTCATGCTTGTGGAAAAGTTGTGACCAGCTTAATGTTAACACCATTCAGGAATAGATTGGTAGAAGCCTCGATGAAGAATAGAGGCACTTAGTTCTGCAGATCCCAAGACTCCAACATTAGCAGGATCAATAACAGTCTCTCTGTAGCAATCACAAGATTCCCCCACCTGCTGGACTTAACGCATGAGCATAACTATGCTAGCCCACATCACTTAATTTCTCTAAAACAGTGCAAGTTGGAATCCTATTTACAACTGATATGCTTGTGTCATAGGCATTTTGAGTTTGGTTGTAGAATGGCTATATTTGCATTGAAAACAAATGCAGCAACTAGTGTAGTTAATAGTAATTAAGACTGTCATGAGTTGGTTAGCTTGGTTTGTGTAGTGTAAAGTTGAGATGACAAGTTAATTTGGAATGTTAATTGTTAATGCTAATGCTAACTTCTTGTTAAAATTTGAAGTGCTACTCTTAAAAAAATGAATTTGAGTTTTGATTGATTAGGGATGTTAGTGATGTAATTGATTCCATGAGGCAATATGGATCTAAGCATGCTTATGATGATGACATGTACGTAGTTATGATGAAAATCTCATGTTTGGCATTATTTTCACTTTGTTCCGTTTGTTTTATTTTTAGATTCAAATTTTATGTATGGTGATTGTTATGTATGTGAGGGCAATACATTGGTTTGGAATGGTTTACTACCTGAACTCGAATGCTCCTTAATAAATGACTTGTATCTTAAGTAATGAAATGGAAAAATTTTCTCCCTTTTTATTCAAATGATCATGATTGCAAAACAAAGTGACAAAGGATTAGGATAATGGAGTTTGAATCGTTTGAATTAGGGGTTAAAAAGTTGACTTTGGTCAAATGGTTGACCACACAATCAACTGTTGACTAAAGTCAACTATAGGTCAAACATGTATCTCTTTGTGTAAAATCTTGGATTTTATATCTTTTGTGATGTAATGTGAAGGGATGATTTTTGAAATGAAAATGAAATAGTATGACTTGATCTTCAAGAAAGATCTTATTCTCTCCAAAAACAAGATTTTGAATTTGAACAATAACTTTGC